TGCAAAATTGCAAGAACAAGGGCCTAGTGTGTGCAAACTTGGAAGAAAGAGGGCCTAGCGTGTGCCAAATTGCAAGAACAAAGGCCTAGTGTGTGCTAAATTGGAAGAACAAGTGCCTAGCGTGTGCAAAATTGGAAGAACAAGGGCCTAGCGTGTGCAAAATTGGAAGAACAAGGGCCTAGCGTGTGCAAATCTGGAAGAAAAAGGGCCTAGCGTGTGCAAAATTGGAAGAACAAGTGCCTAGCGTGTGCAAAATTGGAAGAACAAGGGCCTAGCGTGTGCCAAATTGCAAGAACAAAGGCCTAGTGTGTGCTTAATTGGAAGAACAAGTGCCTAGCGTGTGCAAATTTGGAAGAACAAGGGCCTAGTGTATGCAAAATTTGAAGAACAAGTGCCTAGCGTGTGCAAAATTGGAAGAACAAGGGCCTAGCGTGTGCAAAATTGGAAGAATAAGGGCCTAGCGTGTGCAAAATTGGAAGAACAAGGGCCTAGCGTGTGCAAAATTGGAAGAACAAGGGCCTAGCGTGTGCAAAATTGGAAGAACAAGGGCCTAGTGTGTGCAAAATTGGAAGAACAAGTGCCTAGCGTGTGCAAGATTGGAAGAACAAGGGCCTAGCGTGTGCAAAATTGGAAGAACAAGGGCCTAGCGTGTGCAAAATTGGAAGAACAAGGGCCTAGCGTGTGCAAATTTGGAAGAACAAGGGCCTAGCGTGTGCAAAATTGGAAGAACAAGGGCCTAGCGTGTGCAAAATTGGAAGAAAGAGGGCCTAGCGTGTGCAAAATTGCAAGAACAAGGGCCTAGCGTGTGCAAAATTGGAAGAACAAGGGCCTAGCGTGTGCAAAATTGGAAGAACAAGGGCCTAGCGTGTGCAAAATTGCAAGAACAAGGGCCTAGCGTGTGCAAAATTGCAAGAACAAAGGCCTAGTGTGTGCAAAATTGGAAGAACAAGGGCCTAGCGTGTGCCAAATTGCAAGAACAAAGGCCTTGTGTGTGCAAAATTGGAAGAACAAGTGCCTAGCGTGTGCAAAATTGGAAGAACAAGGGCCTAGCGTGTGCAAAATTGGAAGAACAAGGGCCTAGCGTGTGCAAAATTGGAAGAACAAGGGCCTAGCGTGTGCAAAATTGGAAGAACAAGGGCCTAGCGTGTGCAAAATTGGAAGAACAAGGGCCTAGCGTGTGCAAAATTGGAAGAACAAGGGCCTAGCGTTTGCAAAATTGGAAGAACAAGGGCCTAGCGTGTGCAAATTTGGAAGAACAAGGGCCTAGCGTGTGCAAAATTGGAAGAACAAGGGCCTAGCGTGTGCAAAATTGGAAGAACAAGGGCCTAGCGTGTCCAAAATTGGAAGAACAAGGGCCTAGCGTGTGCAAAATTGGAAGAACAAGGGCCTAGCGTGTGCAAAATTGGAAGAACAAGGGCCTAGCGTTTGCAAAATTGGAATAACAAGGGCCTAGCGTGTGCAAAATTGGAAGAACAAGGGCCTAGCGTGTGCCAAATTGCAAGAACAAAGGCCTAGTGTGTGCAAAATCGGAAGAACAAGTGCCTAGCGTGTGCAAAATTGGAAGAACAAGGGCCTAGCGTGTGCAAAATTGGAAGAACAAGGGCCTAGCGTGTGTAAAATTGAAATAACAAGGGCCTAGCGTGTGCAAAATTGGAAGAACAAGGGCCTAGTGTGTGCAATATTGGAAGAACAAGGGCCTAGCGTGTGCAAAATTGGAAGAACAAGGGCCTAGCGTGTGCAAAATTGGAAGAACAAGTGCCTAGCATGTGCAAAATTAGATTAACAAGGGCCTAGCGTGTGCCAAATTGCAAGAACAAAGGCCTAGTGTGTGCAAAATTGGAAGAACAAGGGCCTAGCGTGTGGAAAATTGGAAGAACAAGGGCCTAGCGAGTGTAAAATTGGAAGAACAAGGGCCTAGCGTGTGCAAAATTGGAAGAACAAGGGCCTAGCGTGTGCAAAATTGGAAGAATAAGGGCCTAGCGTGTGCAAAATTGGAAGAACAAGGGCCTAGCGTGTGCAAAATTGGAAGAACAAGGGCCCAACGTGTGCAAAATTGGAAGAACAAGGGCCTAGCGTGTGCAAAATTGCAAGAACAAGGGCCTAGTATGTGCAAAATTGGAAGAACAAGGGCCTAGCATGTGCCAAATTGCAAGAACAAGAGCCTATTGTGTGCAAAATTGGAAGAACAGGTGCCTAGCGTGTGCAAAATTGCAAGAACAAGGGCCTAATATGTGCAAAATTGGAAGAAAAAGGGACTAGCGTGTGCAAAATTGGAAGAACAAGGGCCTAGCGTGTGCAAAATAGCAAGAACAAGGGCCTAGCGTGTGCAAAATTTCAAGAACAAGGAAATAGCTTGTGCAACATTGGAAGAACAAGGGCCTAGCGTGTGCCAAATTGCAAGAACAAATGCCTAGTGTGTGCAAAATTGGAAGAACAAGTGTCTAGCGTCTGCAAAATTGGAAGAACAAGGGCTTAGCGTGTGCAAAATTGAAAGAACAAGGACCTAGCGTGTGCAAAATTGGAAGAACAAGGGCCTAGCGTGTGCAAAATTGGAAGAACAAGGGCCTAGCGTGTGCAAAATTGGAAGAACAAGGGCCTAGCGTGTGCAAAATTGGAAGAACAAGGGCCTAGCGTGTGCAAAATTGCATGAACAAGGGCCTTGCGTGTGCAAAATTGCAAGAACAAGGGCCTAGTGTGTGCAAAATTGGAAGAACAAGGGCCTTGCGTGTGCCAAATTGCAAGAACAAAGGCCTAGTGTGTGCAAAATTGGAAGAACAAGTGCCTAGCGAGTGCAAAATTGGAAGAACAAGGGCCTAGCGTGTGCAAAATTGCAAGAACAAGGGCCTAGTGTGTGCAAAATTGGAAGAACAAGGGCCTAGCGTGTGCCAAATAGCAAGAACAAGAGCCTATTGTGTGCAAAATTGGAAGAACAAGGGCCTAGCGAGTGTAAAATTGGAAGAACAAGGGCCTAGCGTGTGCCAAATTGGAAGAACAAGGGCCTAGCGTGTGCCAAATTGGAAGAACAAGGGCCTAGCGTGTGCAAAATTGGAAGAACAAGGGCCTAGCGTGTGCAAAATTGGAAGAACAAGGGCCTAGCGTGTGCAAAATTGGAAGAACAAGGGCCTAGCGTGTGCAAAATTGCAAGAACAAGGGCCTAGTGTGTGCAAAATTGGAAGAACAAGGGCCTAGCTGTCAGATTACTATAGCTGATGCATGTTTTTAGGCTGTAGTGGGGTAGCACATAAGGGGTACAACCCAATTAGGGTTGGTACTTGTACTGGTTTCACTTCATAGTTCACCATTCCTGTTCGCTTATTCTCACATGGTATAGAGCGGGTCCTTCTACGGACCATTTTTTTTTTGGCCCACCGAAGCGCCCCCCGAGGCACGATTTTTTTTTAGCGACCCCTCGGATCGTCATTTCTCCTGCGGCCCCGCCGCCTTCACTAACGCGGCCCCGCCGCCCTCTCTGACGGGGCCCCGCCGCCGGCCCTTACGCGGCCCCGTCGCCGGCTCTTACGCGGCCCGGCAGCCGGCTCTGTCGCGGCCCCGCCCTGGCCTTTACGCGGCCCCGCCGCCTGCTCTCACGCGGCCCCGCCCCGGCTCCTTCGCCGCCCCGCCGCCTGCTTTCGCGCGGCCCCGCCCCGGCTTCTACGCGGCCCCGCCCCGGCTTTCACGCGGCCCCGCCGACGGCTTTGTCGCGGCCCCGCCCAGGCCCTTACGCGGCCCCGCCGCCTGCTTTTGCGCGGCCCCGCCCCGGCTTCTACGCGGCCCCGCCCCGGCTTTCACGCGGCCCCGCCGACGGCTTTGTCGCGGCCCCGCCCAGGCCCTTACGCGGCCCCGCCGCCTGCTCTCACGCGGCCCCGCCCCGGCTCCTTCGCGGCCCCGCCGCCTGCTCTAGAGCGGCCCCGCCCCGGCTTCTACGCGGCCCCGCCCCGGCTTTCACGTGGCCCCGCCGACGGCTTTGTCGCGGCCCCGCCCAGGCCCTTCCGCGGCCCCGCCGCCTGCTCTCACGCGGCCCCGCCCCGGCTCCTTCGCGGCCCCGCCGCCTGCTCTAGCACGGCCCCGCCCCGGCTTCTACGCGGCCCCGCCCCGGCTTTCACGCGGCCCCGCCGACGGCTTTGTCGAGGCCCCGCCCAGGCCCTTACGCGGCCCCGCCGCCTGCTCTCACGCGGCCCCGCCCCGGCTCCTTCGCGGCCCCGCCGCCTGCTCTCGCGCGGCCCCGCCCCGGCTTCTACGCGGCCCCGCCCCGGCTTTCACGCGGCCCCGCCGACGGCTCTGTCGCGGCCCCGCCCAGGCCCTTACGCGGCCCCGCCGCCTGCCCTCGTCGCGGCCCCACCCTGTCGCGGCCCCGCCCCATCCCGGCCCAGCCGCCCCGTCGCGGCCTGGTCGCCTCCTGACGGCCCCGCCGTCCCTTCGTGACGGCCCCGCCGTCCCTTCCTGACGGCCCCGCCGTCCCCTCCTGACGGCTCCTGCCGTCCCCTTCTACCAGCCCCGCAAATGCACCTGCTGGCCCCACCGCTGCACCTACCGGCCCCCACCGCAAGCGGCCCCCTCAGGTCGCCTCGACAGGCGACGGGAGAGGCCAGCAGAGGGGTGGCAGGTGTGTGGCCTCCCCTGCTTCTCCTCCTCCTTCATCTCCCACTGCAGCAGCCGAGCCGCTCACCTGCAGCAGCCGAGCCGCCCCACCGCCGAGCCGCCCTGCACCCGAGCCGCCCAGCAGCCGAGCGTGCTGCCGCCGAGCCGCCGGGTCGCTGAGCTGCTGAGCTGCAGTAGCTGCCGAGCCGCCTTGCCGCCGAGCCGCCCAAGTCGCCCGAGCCGCCGAGCCGCCGAGCTGCCGAGCCGCTGAGTCGCCGAGCCTACTCTTCCCACCACTGGTGAGCTCTTGCCCTGCTAGCACGCTGCGCATCGCCTGCTTGCCTGCCTGCCTGCCTTTTGGCTTGCCTGGCTGCCTGCCTTCCTGCTGCTAGTCCTGCTCCTGCTTCTACTTGCGGAGCCAGATGCAGCCCAAGCGACGCCTGCGTGAGTCCCTCACGCCCCAGCAGCTGCGTGAGTGGTACGCTGGTTGGGGCTGTAGGGGGGGCGACGCTACTCCTACTACCACTCCTGCTGCTTCTACTCGTGGTGGCAGCCAGATGCAGCTCCCGCGACCCTCTCGCGTGTCTCTCACGCCTCGCCAGCTTCGTGAGTGGTACGCTCAGAGTGGAGGGTCTCTCAGTGCTGTTCGCTGCTCTTACGTGATTCGCACTGGTCCTCGGACTGGTCAGCCTTGTGGGACACATAGTCATACACAGTCCCGCTGCTTCGCCCGTCTGAGCGACGCCTGGCGTACCGTGTTTGGCGACGAGGCTGAGCTTCCCGACTGGGTGGAGTTGCTTAGGCAGAGGGTAGATATATATGCTCTTGACTATGATGCTATTCTCACTGCCATGTATGCATTGCCTACTAGTGCTGACCGTGCCAGTCACCTGTGCGTCCCGCCTGACCCAGGTATAGGACCTGCTGCTCTAGCTACTGGTGAGGCTGCTGCTCTGGGTGCTAGTGAGTCTCCTGCTCCAGGTACAGGTGCGGCTGCTGCTCTAGGTGCTAGTGAGTCTGCTTCCTCCGGTGCGGGTGAGGCTGCGCTCTCAGGTACCGCGTTGGCTTCGGCCTCCCTCACCTTTACACTTGACTCTGGGGCTTCTCGCTCCTTCTTTCGGGACCGCACCACACTCACGCCGCTTGGTCGGCCGGTTGCAGTCTCCCTGGCTGACCCCTCTAGGGGTCCTGTCCTCGCTCACTTCTCCACTGTCCTCCCGTGTCCGGCTGCCCCCTCGGGCACCCTGTCTGGCATGTACCTCCCCTCGTTCTCGACGAACTTGGTGAGTGGTGCAGACCTACAGGATGCGGGGGTTCACCAGTTCACTCCTGCGAGTCAGCGGGTGACCCACTGCACGGACGGACGCACAGGCCGGCACCTGGCCACGTTCTCGCGTCGGCCGGGGTCGAGCCTCTACACCCTGACCACTGAGTCTCCTCCTGTCCCCGCGTCCGGTCAGGTAGCAGCGTCGGGTCAGGTGTTTGCTGCTGCGTCCAGGTCTGGTCATGAGTCTGCCCCCTGTTCGTGTCGCCTCCTGTCTCACGAGACTCTCCTCTGGCACCACCGTCTAGGCCACCCCTCCTTGCCCCGTCTTCGGGGCATGGCTTCCCGTGTCCTTGTCTCTGGTCTTCCCCAGTCTCTCCCTCTCCTTCCTTCGGGACCAGGACCTTCCTGTGTCCCCTGTGTCGAGGGGCGCCTCAGGGCTGCTCCTCACTCCTCCCAGTTTCCCCCGACAGAGGCTCCTCTGCAGACGCTTCACATGGACGTGTGGGGCCCGGCCCCCGTCCGTGGGCAGGGTCACGAGCGCTAGTTCCTGTTGGTGGTTGACGACTACTCGCGTTACACCTCAGTCTTCCCCTTGCGCAGCAAGGGTGCTGTCACTGAGGTGCTGATCGACTGGATCCGCGAGGCTCGTCTCCAGCTCAGGAGGAGCTTCGGCTCGGACTTTCCTGTTCTGCGTCTGCACTCTGACCGAGGTGGGGAGTTCTCCTCTCGCCTTCTGCGAGACTACTGTCGTGCACGGGGGATCCGCCAGACCTTTACGCTTCCGGACTCTCCACAGCAAAATGGGATTGCTGAGCGCCGCATTGGCATGGTCATGGATGTCGCTCGTACGTCCATGATGCATGCGGCTGCCCCCCATTTTCTGTGGCCGTTTGCGGTTCGGTACGCGGCGCATCAGCTCAACCTTCACCCCAGGGTCTCTCGGCCCGCGATGTCCCCAGTGTTACTGTGGACGGGGAAGGTCGGCGATGCGTCTGCGTTCCGTGTCTGGGGATCTCGGGCGTTTGTCCGCGACTTGTCTGCGGACAAGCTGTCCCCCCGTGCTGCTCCCTGTGTCTTCCTTGGCTTCCCCCTTGACGCTCCAGGGTGGCAGTTCTACCACCCCTCCTCTCGTCGTGTTCTGTCCTCCCAGGACGTCACGTTCGACGAGTCAGTCCCCTTCTACCGCCTCTTCCCCTACCGTACTCCTTCCCTCCCCCCCCCACCGGACTTCCTGGTACCAGTTCCCCCCCCGGTAGACCCCCTCCCCCCTCAGGTTCCTGCCCCTTCAGGTGTGTCCCAGGTAGACACGGTCGAGCTAGTCGAGGTTGCTGCTGAGTCTGGTCCTGCTGCGGGTGCTGAGCCTGGGGGTGCTGCTGCTGGGGGTGCTGAGCCTGGGGGTGCTGAGCCAGGGGGTGCGAGGCCGGGGGGTGCTGAGTCTGGGGGTGCTGAGCCGGGGGGTGCTGAGCCGGAGGGTGCTACGTCAGGAGCTGCTGAGCCTGGGGGTGCTGGGCCTGGAGGTGCGGAGCCTGCGTCTGCTGGACCTGGGGGCTCTCCGGTTCTTCCGTCTCGGCGGGAGCCGCTCTCTCCACAGGAGCTGCGCGAGTGGTTTGCTCACCGCTGGAGGCGTGCTGCTGGAGCTGGAGCTTCTTCGCCTGCTGAGGGGGCTGCCGGTCCCGGAGCTGCTGGGCCTGCGGGTCCTACTGGAGCTGGAGCTGCTGAGCCTGGGGTTTCTCCTGCTGCTGCGTCTCGCCGGGAGCCCCTCTCTCCACAGGAGCTACGCGAGTGGTTTGCTCGCCGCTGGAGGAGTGCTGCTGGAGCTGGAGCTTCGTCGACCGTCGAGGGTGCTGGTGCTGCCGGTCCCGGAGGTGCTGGGCCTGCGGGTCCTACTGGAGCTGGAGCTGCTGAGGGTGTTGGTGCTGAGACTACTGCTGTCTGTCCTGGCGGTGGTTCTGCTGCTGGTGCTGCTGGAGGTCCTGCCGCTGGAGGTGTTGGTGGCGCTGGTGCTGTCGCTGAGGGTGCTGGTGCTGTCCCTGCTGAGTCTGGAGCTGCCGCGCGGCCTCGGCCGTACTTCGTTCCGCTCCTACAGCAGGTTCTTGGTCTTTCTCCTCCGGTAGAGTGTCCACAGCCTGTCCAGTCGCAGTCACTGTTGGAGCCTTCCTCTCCTCTGCCTGCTCCCTCTCCTTACACTGGTCCTACTGGAGGTCTTGCTGAGCGTCGTGAGCCTGCGTCTCGTCCCGCGTCGCCGGTTCGTGCTGCTCGCGCTAGTGGTCGCGGTTCGCGTCACCGTCCTCCTCCTGTCCCTGGCACGCACCGGATGTCTCTGCGTCCGTCCACAGCTCCTCTGCGTGCCCCTTTGCCTTCTCCTCCTGAGTCCTCTCTTCCTGCGCTTGCCGACCCTGAGTCGGACTCTCTTCGTGCTGCCAGTCCTACTGTCACGCGTCTGCTTGCTACTGTCGTCACTGACCCCTCCTTTGAGTCCACTGCTGCGTCTGCTCTTGTCGCTGAGCTCGTCGATTTTGCTGCTCGCTGTCGTCTAGACTACGCTGCTGGCCTTGTTGCTGAGTCTGCGTCTGTCTGTCCTCCGTCCGTTGGGGGTGAGTGTGCTCTTGGCACGGACGTCCTAGAGGACAGGCAGGAGGAGTTACAGTGTCTGGCTGCTGCTTCACCTCATCTCGCGTCTGTACTGCTTGCTCCTGAGGGAGACCCGGATGCACTAGACATCCCGACTCCGCGCTCTTACGCGGAGGCCGTAGAGGGTCCCTACTCGTCTCAGTGGCAGGCAGCTATTGATGCAGAGATGGCTTCCTGGAAGTCCACAGGCACCTACGTTGACGCAGTTCCCCCTCCTGGGGCGAACATTGTCAGTGGCATGTGGATCTTCAGGGTGAAGCGGCCGCCGGGCTCTCCACCTGTCTTCAAGGCGCGGTACGTTGCTCGTGGCTTCAGTCAGCGGCAGGGAGTTGACTACTTTCAGACCTTCTCTCCCACCCCGAAGATGACTACTCTTCGGGTACTGCTGCACGTAGCCGCTCAGCGCGACTACGAGCTTCACTCTCTCAACTTCAGCACTGCGTTCCTGCAGGGTAGCCTGCACGAGGAGATCTGGCTGCGCCGTCCACCTGGCTTCACTGTGACTTTCCAACCTGGCACCCAGTGGAGCCTCCGACGGCCAGTCTACGGTCTCCGCCAGGCACCGCGTGAGTGGCACGACACACTGAGGACTACGCTTGCGGCTCTTGGGTTTGCTCCTTCTACTGCTGACCCGTCGCTGTTTCTGCGCACCGACACTTCACTGCCGCCGTTCTACATCCTCGTGTACGTCGACGACTTGGTCTTTGCCACAGCGGACACTGCTGGACTCGCCTACATGAAGTCCGAGTTGCTGAAGAGACACACATGCACAGACCTGGGTGAACTGCGAAGCTACCTTGGCTTGCAGATCACTCGGGACAGAGCACGCCGCACCATTACCTTGACTCAGTCACACATGGTGCAGCAGGTCCTTCAGCGCTTCGGCTTCACGTACTCCTCGCCTGCTCTTGCTTGTCTAGTTTTATATATATATATGTCTGTACTCCTGCATGTGAACTGGCCTCTGGCCCTGCTCTTGTGCTCGGACTGTGTGGTGACTTTGTGATCCACCCCGAGCTTGCTTTGCTTTGCTTTTCTTGACTGGTCTTGTGACCCCTTGTTCTCCCCCACTTTGCCTATGGGGGTGTGTCAGATTACTATAGCTGATGCATGTTTGTAGGCTGTAGTGGGGTAGCACATAAGGGGTACAACCCAATTAGGGTTGGTACTTGTACTGTTTTCACTTCATAGTTCACCATTCCTGTTCGCTTATTCTCACACTAGCGTGTGCCAAATTGCAAGAACAAAGGCCTTGTGTGTGCAAAATTGGAAGAACAAGTGCCTAGCGTGTGCAACATTGGAAGAACAAGGGCCTAGCGTGTGCAAAATTGGAAGAACAAGGGCCTAGCGTGTGCAAAATTGGAAGAACAAGGGCCTAGCGTGTGCAATATTGGAAGAACAAGGGCCTAGCGTGTGCAAACTTGGAAGAACAAGGGCCTAGCGTGTGCAAAATTGGAAGAGCAAGGGCCTAGCGTGTGCAAAATTGGAAGAACAAGGGCCTAGCGTGTGCAAAATTGCAAGAACAAGGGCCTAGTGTGTGCAAAATTGGAAGAACAAGGGCCTAGCGTGTGCCAAATTGCAAGAACAAAGGCCTAGTGTGTGCAAAATTGGAAGAACAAGGGCCTAGCGTGTGCAAAATTGGAAGAACAAGGGCCTAGCGTGTGCAAAATTGGAAGAACAAGGGCCTAGCGTGTGCCAAATTGCAAGAACAAAGGCCTAGTGTGTGCAAAATTGGAAGAACAAGTACCTAGCGTGTGCAAAATTGGAAGAATAAGGGCCTAGCGTATGCAAAATTGGAAGAACAAGGGCCTAGCGTGTGCAAAATTGCAAGAACAAGGGCCTAGTGTGTGCGAAATTGGAAGAATAAGGGCCTAGCGTGTCCCAAATTGCAAGAACAAAGGCCTGGTGTGTGCAAAATTGGAAGAACAAGTGCCTAGCGTGTGCAAAATTGGAAGAACAAGGGCCTAGCGTGTGCGAAATTGGAAGAACAAGGGCCTAGCGTGTGCAAAATTGGAAGAACAAGGGCCTAGCGTGTGCAAAATCGGAAGAACAAGGGCCTAGCGTGTGCAAAATTGGAAGAACAAGGGCCTAGCATGTGCAAAATTGCAAGAACAAGGGCCTAGTGTGCGCAAAATTGGAAGAACAAATGCCTAGCATGTGCCAAATTGCAAGAACAAAGGCCTAGTGTGTGCAAAATTGGAAGAACAAGTGCCTAGCGTGTGCAAAATTGGAAGAACAAGGGCCTAGCATGGGCAAAATTGGAAGAACAAGGGCCTAGCGTGTGCAAAATTGCAAGAACAAGGGCCTAGCGTGTGCAAAATTGCAAGAACAAGGGCCTAGTGTGTGCAAAATTGGAAGAACAAGGGCCTAGCGTGTGCAAAATTGGAAGAACAAGGGCCTAGCGTGTGCCAAATTGGAAGAACAAGGGCCTAGTGTGTGCAAAATTGGAAGAACAAGGGCCTAGCGTGTGCAAAATTGGAAGAGCAAGGGCCTAGCATGTGCAAAATTGGAAGAACAAGGGCCTAGCGTGTGCAAAATTGGAAGAACAAGGGCCTGGCGTGTGCAAAATTGGAAGAACAAGGGCCTAGCGTATGCAAAATTGGAAGAACAAGGGCCTAGTGTGTGCAAAATCGAATGAACAAGGGCCTAGCGTGTGCAAAATAGCAAGAACAAGGTCCTAGCATGTGCAAAATTGGAAGAACAAGGGCCTAGCGTGTGCCAAATTGCAAGAACAAGGGCCTAGCATGTGCAAAATTGGAAGAACAAGGGCCTAGCGTGTGCAAAATTGCAAAAACAAGGGCCTAGTGTGTGCAAAATTGGAAGAACAAGGGCCTAGCGTGTGCCAAATTGCAAGAACAAAGGCCTAGTGTGTGCAAAATTGGAAGAACAAGTACCTAGCGTGTGCAAAATTGGAAGAATAAGGGCCTAGCGTGTGCAAAATTGGAAGAACAAGGGCCTAGCGTGTGCAAAATTGCAAGAACAAGGGCCTAGTGTGTGCAAAATTGGAAGAATAAGGGCCTAGCGTGTCCCAAATTGCAAGAACAAAGGCCTGGTGTGTGCAAAATTGGAAGAACAAGTGCCTAGCGTGTGCAAAATTGGAAGAACAAGGGCCTAGCGTGTGCGAAATTGGAAGAACAAGGGCCTAGCGTGTGCAAAATTAAAAGAACAAGGGCCTAGCGTGTGCAAAATTGGAAGAAAAAGGGCCTAGCGTGTACAATATTGGAAGACCAAGGGCCTAGAGTGTGCAAAATTGGAAGAACAAGGGCCTAGCGTGTGCAAAATTGGAAGAACAAGGGCCTAGCGTGTGCCAAATTGCAAGAACAAGGGCGTAGCATGTGCAAAATTGGAAGAACAAGGGCCTAGCGTGTGCAAAATTGCAAAAACAAGGGCCTAGTGTGTGCAAAATTGGAAGAACAAGGGCCTAGCGTGTGCCAAATTGCAAGAACAAAGGCCTAGTGTGTGCAAAATTGGAAGAACAAGGGCCTAGCATGTGCAAAATTGGAAGAACAAGTGCCTAGCGTGTGCCAAATTGGAAGAACAAGGGCCTAGTGTGTGCAAAACTGGAAGAACAAGGGCCTAGCGTGTGCAAAATTGGAAGAACAAGGGCCTAGCGTGTGCAAAATTGGAAGAACAAGGGCCTAGCGTGTGCAAAATTGGAAGAACAAGAGCCTAGCGTGTGCAAAATTGGAAGAACAAGGGCCTAGCGTGTGCAAAATTGCAAGAATAAGGGCCTAGTGTGTGCAAAATTGGAAGAACAAGGGCCTAGCCTGTGCCAAATTGCAATAACAAAGGCCTAGTGTGTGCAAAATTGGAAGAACAAGTGCCTAGCGTGTGCAAAATTGGAAGAACAAGGGCCTAGCGTGTGCAAAATTGGAAGAACAAGAGCCTAGCGTGTGCAAAATTGCAAGAACAAGGGCCTAGTGTGTGCAAAATTGGAAGAACAAGGGCCTAGCGTGTGCCAATTTGCAAGAACAGAGGCCTAGTGTGTGCAAAATTGGAAGAACAAGTGCCTAGCGTGTGCAAAATTGGAAGAACAAGGGCCTAGCGTGTGCCAAATTGCAAGAAGAAAGGCCTAGTGTATACAAAATTGGAAGAACAAGGGCCTAGCGTGTGCAAAATTGGAAGAACAAGGGCCTAGCGTGTGCAAAATTGGAAGAACAAGGGCCTAGCGTGTGCAAAATTGGAAGAACAAGGGCCTAGCGTGTGCAAAATTGGAAGAACAAGGGCCTAGCGTGTGCAAAATTGGAAGAACAAGGGCCTAGCGTGTGCAAAATTGGAAGAACAAGGGCCTAGCGTGTGCAAAATTGGAAGAACAAGGGCCTGGCGTGTGCAAAATTGGAAGAACAAGGGCCTAGCGTATGCAAAATTGGAAGAACAAGGGCCTAGCGTATGCAAAATTGGAAGAACAAGGGCCTAGCGTGTGCAAAATTGGAAGAACAAGAGCATAGCGTGTGCAAAATTGGAAGAACAAGGGCCTAGCATGTGCAAAATTGCAAGAACAAGGGCCTAGTGTGTGCAAAATTGGAAGAACAAATGCCTAGCATGTGCCAAATTGCAAGAACAAAGGCCTAGTGTGTGCAAAATTGGAAGAACAAGTGCCTAGCATGTGCAAAATTGGAAGAACAAGGGCCTAGCATGGGCAAAATTGGAAGAACAAGGGCCTAGCTTGTGCAAAATTGCAAGAACAAGGGCCTAGCGTGTGCAAAATTGCAAGAACAAGGGCCTAGTGTGTGCAAAATTGGAAGAACAAGGGCCTAGCGTGTGCAAAATTGGAAGAACAAGGGCCTAGCGTGTGCCAAATTGGAAGAACAAGGGCCTAGTGTGTGCAAAATTGGAAGAACAAGGGCCTAGCGTGTGCAAAATTGGAAGAGCAAGGGCCTAGCGTGTGCAAAATTGGAAGAACAAGGGCCTAGCGTGTGCAAAATTGGAAGAACAAGGGCCTGGCGTGTGCAAAATTGGAAGAACAAGGGCCTAGCGTATGCAAAATTGGAAGAACAAGGGCCTAGTGTGTGCAAAATCGGAAGAACAAGGGCCTAGCGTGTGCAAAATAGCAAGAACAAGGTCCTAGCATGTGCAAAATTGGAAGAACAAGGGCCTAGCGCGTGCAAAATTGGAAGAACAAGGGCCTAGCGCGTGCCAAATTGCAAGAACAAAGGCCTAGTGTGTGCAAAATTGGAAGAACAAGTGCCTAGCGTGTGCAAAATTGGAAGAACAAGGGCTTAGCGTGTGCAAAATTGGAAGAACAAGGGCCTAGCGTGTGCAAAATTGAAAGAACAAGGGCCTAGCGTGTGCAAAATTGGAAGAACAAGGGCCTAGCGTGTGCAAAATTGCAAGAACAAGGGCCTAGTATGTGCAAAATTGGAAGAACAAGGGCCTAGCGTGTGCCAAATAGCAAGAACAAGAGCCTATTGTGTGCAAAATTGGAAGAACAAGGGCCTAGCGTGTGCCAAATTGCAAGAACAAAGGCCTAGTGTTTGCAAAATTGGAAGAACAAGTGCCTAGCGTGTGCAAAATTGGAAGAACAAGGGCCTAGCGTGTGCAAAATTGGAAGAACAAGGGCCTAGCGTGTGCAAAATTGGAAGAACAAGGGCCTAGCGTGTGCAAAATTGGAAGAACAAGGGCCTAGCGTGTGCAAAATTGGAAGAACAAGGGCCTAGCGTGTGCAAAATTGGAAGAACAAGGGCCTAGCGTGTGCAAAATTGGAAGAACAAGGGCCTGGCGTGTGCAAAATTGGAAGAACAAGGGCCTAGCGTATGCAAAATTGGAAGAACAAGGGCCTAGCGTATGCAAAATTGGAAGAACAAGGGCCTAGCGTGTGCAAAATTGGAAGAACAAGAGCCTAGCGTGTGCAAAATTGGAAGAACAAGGGCCTAGCATGTGCAAAATTGCAAGAACAAGGGCCTAGTGTGTGCAAAATTGGAAGAACAAATGCCTAGCATGTGCCAAATTGCAAGAACAAAGGCCTAGTGTGTGCAAAATTGGAAGAACAAGTGCCTAGCATGTGCAAAATTGGAAGAACAAGGGCCTAGCATGGGCAAAATTGGAAGAACAAGGGCCTAGCGTGTGCAAAATTGCAAGAACAAGGGCCTAGCGTGTGCAAAAT